AACTTTCAGTTGGATGATTCATCTCAGTCCAAACTTAATTCATCAGATCCTCTGGTGATAGAAATGAAGCAACAGATGAAAGTGACCTCAGGCACCTGGGTTTTCAGTTCAAGTAAAGTTGTTGCAGCCTGCACGATGATTTCTTTAAACTGGATTCCTTTTTCAGAACAGGTTTCCACAAGCAGTATATTGATGGATATTTTTTCATTCATCTTGAAAACACTGGACTTGACCTAGGTCTTGCAGTCTGCTGATGCTGAATGACATTCTGACAGTCCTTGTTGCTCATAATATAAAGGAGCTACTGGCGGTTGCAGTCACAAACCTATACAACATGTGGCCTTTGGCCTGGTGGTTATTTGTATTGGTACTATTCAACCTAGAAATAAGGAGTAACTTTCTGACACGGAGAACAATCAACCAATGGAACAGTTAGCATTCGGAAGTTGTGGGAGCTTCATCACTTGATACTTTCAAGAAGAGACTAGACTGCCATTTGTCTATAAGCCAATAAGGTCTCTTCCAACTCTATTAATCTGTTAATCTGTCTCTTGGGTAGCAGAGATATCCAGAACCATCCAGGGTGACCAGGTAGCTTTTCTTTTTAGGGTAGTACTGCCCACCCTCAGATGAGGGAGGGGGATAGAAAACATTGCCTGTCCCAAAGCATCTGATTAGCTAGCCATGGTTGGTGGATCATGTCCTTAGCAGTCAACATGTACCAGGAAATACAAATCAAAGAAAACTCATCTTCAGAGCCTGGAACTGTTACCATCTTGCTGGATAGAAACAAGGTGTCAAGGACTGAACTCATATGCCAGCCTCTGCTTTGCTTGCTTGCTATTGGCTGCCATAGAAACAGGGAGGGTGGGGGCATGGTAAAGGGAGTTTTGTTCTCACCATCCTCTGCGCATGCAGATGGTTGATGTTTGGACTTGGTCAAGGCCAACCATCTCGCATGCCAACCTGATGAGGCCCTTTGAAGATGCACCCCACATGACACCTTAGGGAGTTGCAGATTGGACACTGGGCTCGGGTAACTGTAGGGAGGGGGAATGGGCAATAATTTGATATGTACTTGTTCACGCCTTTTTAGCTCAGATCTTGCTTTCCTTTTTGCTGCTTTCAATTCATATCTAGTAAAAGTACTTTATCTTTATTCAAATGTAGTGGTTTTTCTTTCTTGGATATTGAAGGAGGCATGCCTGTCATCACAGCAGCACCCATAATAGATGAAATTCATCATTAACACATTGTCATCACTGCATTTAGTGAGACTGGGCTTGTTGATGATGGTTCACTACAGGAAGCAGTGAGTGGACATAGGTTCTTTTGGAGAAAGAAACCCAGAGATTGATAACACAATTCAGAGAGTATTTTTTCCAATCAAAACTGCTCTGCTGAATGACATCTCTACTCACTAGAATAAATGAATGTATTATGGCGTTTCACTTTCCTTTCACCAAGTACGGGTATATTGCCATTGTCTTGTAAGTCAAGATGAAGACAGTTTCTATTTGTAAGCAGATCTGGAGCAGACAATTTGGATAATCCCTGTCAGCAACCAACTCATCCTCTCTAAGCAGTTTTCAGAGTCAGCCTATCTCACCCAACAATCTGGGTCCTCATTTTACCCACCTCAGAAGGATGGAAGGTTGGTCAACCTTGAGCCTGTTGAGATTCAATCTGCCAAACTGCTGGCAGCTGGTGATCAGCAGAAGTATTTATTTTATTTTTATTTATTTTATTTTGTCAAGCATGAACTAGATAACAGATATAAGTATAAACATGATTATGAATAAATGAAATGTATATGAATACAAGGGAATATTAAGACAGGAACAGTAGGCACACTGGTGCGCTTATGCACGCCCCTTAGACTTCTTAGGAATTGGGTGAGGTCGACAGTAGACAGTCTAAGGTTAAAGTTTTGGGGGCTTGGGGAAGAAACCACAGTGTCAGGTAGTCCATTCCACACATTGACAACTCTGTTACTGAAATAGTATTTACTGCAATCAAGTTTGGAGTGGTAGCCTGCTGTACTGAATTCTAACCACTGTGCCACTGCGGCTCAGCTGACAAACATAAACAGCTTCAAATACTTTGGAAGCATCTTCTCAAGTGATGGATCTTTGGACAGATATTGACTCCAAGATCTGAAAAGCCAGCTAGGCTCTGGGTGGCTGAATAATAGAATGCTAAAGTCAACACGTCTGTATCTCCATCAAGCTGTGGTTAATCTTTCCTCCTATGTGGATGTGAGCTAGACTCAAATGTAAAATAAAAAAAATAAAAAATCCTGGGAGATGTTCCCTACTCCTGCTAAAGAAACTGCATGGATGTATCCATGAAATCACCAGGATTTTTCTTTGTCACAGGATGTGATTTCCTTGTAGGTTTGTGAAGGATATATGATTGATTGCTGCTGTTTCTGCAAACCTTTGAACTGACCCAGCACTTCAATCTTATATTACTAAGAAGGACATCAGATTATCTAGAAACACCTGAAAGTTGTCTACCAGAGGTTTTTTTTTTAATCCAGGCTAGTCTTTTGAAGCCTTTTTTAAAGCCCAAGTGTTATGAAGCTCTGCTGCAGGAAAACACCAGCATTGCAGTGCTTTTGAGAACTACTCCTTAAGGATTCAAGCTGCATCTCAACACAGCCATTAAGGGTACAGTGAACTTTTAATTACAATCCAGTGTAGTTATCAGCTAGTACAGCAGTTCACAGAATCAATCTGAAAAAATAAAATAGAAACTTCTCTTGGTAGAAGAACGGAAAAAGAGGAAAAATAAAGGAATACCCTGAAGGGATCCTATGTGAATGAGTACAATATTCTGTGTTATATTTTGCTTGCTATTCTTAATTTCTATAGGTAAAGATTCCCCCGCACATGCATACTAATAGTTTCCGGCTCTAGGGGCAGTGATCATCTCTTTTTAAGCCAAAGAGGCAACGCTGTCCAAAGACGTCTCCATGGTCATGTGGCCAGCATGACTCAATGCCGAAGGTGCACGGAGCGCTGTTATCTTCCCACAAAAGTGGTCCCTAGTTTTCTACTTGCATTTTTACCTGCTTTTGAACTACTAGGTTGGCAGAAGCTGGACAAGAAATGGGTGTTCATCCCATTACGCTACGCTAGGGATTTGAACCGCTCAACTGCCGACCTTCTGATCGACAAGCTCAGCATCTTAGCCACTGAGCCATCGCATCCTGTAATCTCTATAATAGTGCTAAAAGGATGATATGATACTTAAATGATATAGCTTTCTGAAAGGTAAACAGAATTCTGAGAGAAGTATCTCTACATTCCCATAGAAATACATTCATCAAATTTATAGCAGGCTTCCAATGGTGGCACACTTTAATTCTATTGGACTACACAGTCCATATTTTCCAGGGTTGGGAATTCTGGGATATGTATGGTGTGGTGCAATACACTAGAAAAGCTTCAAGATGGAGATCACTGCAATTGTATCAAAAAAGTTTGCTAAGCATCAAGCCATATATAGGCGAAGTAACACCACAAAGGGTCAAGAAGAAAATAAAAGATTTTTAAAAATACTCCCAAAAGAAAAAAAAAATTATAGGAAGAAAAACAGCCACTCACTAAGCTTTTCCACATAGCACAAGGTGTTGTCATCCAGAGCTGGCCGAATATTATGCTGACCACAGTTCCAACACATTCTGATTTGATAAGGAAGCAGAAGAAAGAACTTTTCCATACAGAAGTGGAGGGAGGGCACAGGTGGTGGAATGGATAATGTCTGTGACGTTGCCAATTTCTGGCAGACCCACAGACAATATAACTGTAGGACTGGAGAACTGGCAACAAAGGTGCCATTCCTCACCACCCCACAAGTTGTCTCCCTCATATTTTGCCACCCATGGATGGTAGGAGAAGGGTTTGGGGTGCAGAAGCAAGAGAAAATGATTATTTCGGAGCCAGTTCTGTCCTGCACACTTAGAAGGCACCAGGTTTGCAAAAAGTCTGAATGTGATTTATACTTTGAACTTTATTGAGCGTACCATTTCTGAGCCACAAAATTCAGGACTACAAGAGGGCAAGAGAGAGATACATATCTATTTCTGTAACTCAAATATAGTAACCCTAGCCCAATCTTTTTTTGGATCATTAGACCCAGGACAAAATTTATAGAACTCAGCAGTAAACAAAAAAAATATGTTTGAGACATAAATACTGCAATTCACAGCTTGTCATACCAGGGCCATTGATATAAATGGGAATTATTTCCAAGAGGAAATATTGTCAGCAGTGGACCATAATAATAGCCTTGGCTCATATTGGAAAAAAACTAAACAGCTGAAAGTACCTGTATGGGAGACCACTAAGTAATCCCAGAATTAGAGGATAGGCTAGAAAATCAGAAAACATCCAGGACTAAGCCAGTGACAAAGTACTTTCCAATTACAGCAAAAAAAAATATGAATAGAATAAAATAGAATGGAATCTGGAAGGGACATTGGTGGTCTTCTAGTCCAGCCCCTTGCTCAAACAAGAACTATACTTTTTCAGATAAGTGACTGTCCAGTGATTCTTCTTAAAAACCTCCAGTGATGAAGCACCTACAATGTCTGAAGGCAAGCTATTCCACTGGTTAATTGTCCTCACTGTTAGGACGTTTCTTCTTAATTCCAGGTTGCTTCTCTCCTTGATTAGTTTCCATCCATCGTTTCTTGTCCTGCCTTCCGGTGCTTTGGAGAATAAGCTGACTCGCCTCTTCTTTGTGGCAGCCCCTCAAATACTGGAATACTGCTATCACGTCACCCCTAGATGACCTCCAAGGTCCTGATTAATGATAGGATTTGCCGCCAAAGAATTCACGGGAGAAGCGGAGGGGTGTGGGTTTCAACCCTAGGCCGTAATACGGCTCCTCCTTTCGTTCCAAATCGGGTACTGTCGTGATATGCAGTAACGCCACCGGAAGTTGAGAGCTTAGTTTTGCTTTACGTCTTGAAGCCGGAAGTGGTGCTGGAGAGTCTTGTTTTTCGAGCGATCGAAATCTTCGTTTGGCTGCGACTCTTCCTGCTTTGCGGTGGGCCTGCTGGCGAACGGCTCCCCGTTCCCGGAGAATTATGGACCGGAAAAAAAAGCCTCTGGATATAACACTCAGTTCGGTAAGCAGCAAAGGGGGGAACTGGCGGCATTTCCGAGCGATTGTCGTTTTAGGGCAGAGGTGGGGAACAATGACTCCCTTTTATGAGCCACCATGGTGGCTCAGGAATTCTGGGAGTTGAAGTCCACAAGTCATAAAAAGGGCCATCGTTCCCCAGGGTAATAGCTTATCTCTCGTCTTTAGAGGTTGTTTTTTCCCCTCCAAAGTGAAAAGGGAACTACGGAGGTGTAATGTTTTAAGACGCTTATTGTTTGTAATGTCTACACCGCAAATCTTGCATTAATTAAATCTTGGTTTTCTACCCTCCTTCCCCACCTCCTCTCTTCTTAAAAACGTTCAGAGTCCGTTGTCTAAAGGTTTGTTTTGTTTTTTCTCCTTTCGTTATTCCTATTCTAGCTGGTAGATTTGAAAGCTGAACTATTCCGAAAACAGGAAGAATTCAAGAAAGAGAAACTGCTGAAAGATGCCGGAGTCTATGTTAAGCCCAAAACAGTAAATAAGGTACAGAGTTTAGATTATTAATCTCTGTTTAGGGATTCAAGCATAATATTCTTAGTCCTCCCGTTATTCTAAATGCATTCAATAGCAATAGCAATAGCAATAGCAGTAGACTTATATACTGCTTCATAGGCCTTTCAGGCCTCTCTAAGCGGTTTACAGAG